TATGTTAAATTTGCAAGTAAAAACTAATTATGCTCATTTCAGGTAGAAAAGTTTTAGGTCATCAACAAGATCAGATACGGATAAGTTATTGCGATATAAGAGGATCATTGATTCAATTGGCATTACTGGGATAAGTTCAAACATGGAGTATAATACTAATTTTTGTTTTAAATAATTTTATTTTTTTGATCTAATATTTGTTATTGATTATTTCAGTTTAGGTGGACTCTCTACAACAACAATGAGGTCAGGAATATTACACCTCCTTTTGTGTATAATGAGGCAAATGCTTGGGCATCTATGACTGCTCTTATACAGTTTACTGTGATTAAGTGGCACGTTGTTGATCGCGTGATTCGACAATTTGGTGGAGTACAACACATACCAATCAATTTGATAAATATTGATCGGTTTCACGCTAAGGATGGGATATGGTGGCCTGATTATCATGTGACATGGCATGTTGCATGGGAGTCACATAGGGAGCGACGAGTTCAATATCTTCTAAATGATGATGATCGTCCCTCTATCAAGTATTTCTAATGGTACTTGTCAGTCACTAATAGATTTTTGTCATTGAATGGAGCCCCATAGGATTCAGAGCTTAGGGACTTGCCTGATGGTGTACCACTACATGCTCCTCCAGCACTTGATATCACACACCCTGATGATGTTGGAGGGACTTGCCTGTGCTCCTTAATTGCATTTAACAAGGTCTGTGAAAACTTTTTGCCACTTCAAAGTTGCGTTTTTGCCTTTGTGCCTTTTTGTACAAATAACTCAATAAGGCGATAATATGTTGACTTAACTATGGTTGCAATGGGAAGATTACGAGTGCCTTTCATGATAACATTCATACACTCAGATAAATTAGTTGTCATGTGGCCAAAGCGATGACCTTATTGGCATATTGAGCCCAATTTTTGCACGGTATGTTGTTAGCCCATGCACATATTGTGGGATCCACATCGCCCAATGCTCTAAACCAGTATAGAAAATTATGCTCAGTCTTTGCATATGCTGCATTCATTAGCAATCGCTTTGTACCTTTGTTCTTGAACTTTACAGCAAAATTTAACGCAATGTGTCGTGAACAGTATGCATGATAAGTTGAAAGGAGATGCCATCCACTGCCTGTAGCTTCTAAAGCTGCTTTGATAGCATGATGCCTATTAGATATCACAAGAATTTCCTCTTGTGGTGTCACATGCTCACAGATATTTCTCAAGAAAAAAGACTATGCTTCTTTTATCTCTCCCTCCACCACAGCAAATGCAACCGGCAAGATATTTGAGTTGCCATCTTGGGCTATTGTCATTAACAATGTTCCAGCGTACTTGCCATACAAGTGTGTTCCATCGATCGAAATCAGTTTTTTGCAATATTTGAATACCTCTATGCACAGTGGATAGGTCCAGAAAAGACGCTGGTACATAAAGCTACCATAATCAACATCACCAACATAATATGGTCCTGTTTGCATTTGGACAATAGTACCTGGCATATACTGTAAGCCACCCAACCATCTAGGAAGTTTATTATACAATTATTCCTAATCTCCATATATCATATCATTAGCTTTATGTTTCGCATCTTTCTATATGTTGTCTTAAACTTCAACTTTGACTCCGCTGATGCTTGTAGAGATTTAATGGAGATTATCGAATTTGCTTGAATCATGGGGTATATTGGGCACATATAATATGATAATTCATCTGAATATGCTGATTCATAGACTTTGGAAAAATATATGTGTGTGGTCTTGTCAACTTTCGCACTTCCCAAAGCTGCAATTTTTGGCAGAAAATGACACGTATACTCTATTTACAGTCAATGCCAAACTTCGCACACTTGTAATGAACTTTAATGTGGTCAGACTCATAAACTTTATATTGAACGCCTCTTCGAATGTTGTAATGTTTAACAGTAAACGTCACTTTATCCTTGGTGCGAAAACTTGACCAAGTGCCAAATCATTCTCTCCCTATGCTCGAACTTGAACTAGACCCACCGATATTACAATGCATTGCATCTAAATCAACCATTAGGTAGTGACTAGGATATTGTCTTGATTGAGAATTATAATGAGATCGACATCAAATGTTCACCAAAGTCCTGCACATCAGAAAATTGTTCACCTTCTTCATGCTCAAGGTCCTCTCCTCTTCATCATTTTCAGCATTTTGTTGCCCCACAATAAAATCAAAATATCCAATCAAACAACCTTGTGTCATTTTCTGTGCATTTTGCAATAGTGGCTTTTCAATCTGTCTAACAAGGTCTTCAAAACTTGGAGAACGTACCTCAACATGTGAATTGTACACATCATGGCAGGATTCCTCAACTAATGGGGCTAGATTTGATGGAGAAGGTGATGGATTTGAGCTAAACCTCCAAAGCTAAAATGATCAAATTGTAGTTCAACAAATATCTCTATTGTATGAGCTTTAACAAATGAGTTAAAATAACTAAACATGTGATTAATGTGCTCATCTTTCCATAGTTGCCACTTTTTATATCGAATACCATTTGGTCCAATATCAATTGGCATCCTATAGAATATTTTTGAAACTTGTGTGTTGTTTCCCTCATACTTCTCCAATATTCGACTTTTCAATTGTAGCAAAGTAATCGATGGACGGATAACCAATCAAGCTTGATTGTCACTACAAAAATCTCTCCCTCCACCATGTTTACAATCTCACCATGATAATATATAAAGACATAAATATAACCCTTTGTCATCTCACTACAATTTTCAAACTCAATCTGAAATTTTGTCAAAAATAATTGTGCAAAGTCAAGAGTTGTATACATTGATTTATATCGAATGTATTAAAGTTGACATATGTTTAGGATAGAAATATATTAAAATCGACTTTTGTTTTAAGTAAAAATCTATTAAAATTGACTTCTGTTTTAAATAAAAATATATTAAAATCGACTTCTATTTATAAAAAAAGAAAAAAAAATATAAACAGAAGTCAATTACAATAGACTTCAACGTTACCGTACATCAAATTGTGAAGGAAAGTTGATTTGAATTGACTTCTTTGTATGCATAAATTTTAAAATGGTAGCAAGTTGATTCAAATCCTTTTATTTAAGTTACGTGCAAAAATTACAAGAAAATCGGTTAAAATTGATTTCTATTAAAACAAAATCAGGACATATATGTAAACAAATCCGAAAAGTGGCATTTATGTAATATTAGCCATAAATTAATTTATTTAAGTAAAAAAACCTAAATATGATTTCTTAAGGTATAAATATTTTATAAATATCATTATATTTTCATAAAAGTATATATAGTTAAATACGTCACAAATTATATAATTAATTAAGACTTTAACATAACATACTGTGGGAAGATATAATTTGAATCCTATGAATGTTGAGGAACACTATGCAATGAGTCTTGTGTGAGGCAAGCAAGGTCGTTTGGATGAGAAGGAATTGGAGTCTCATAACTTTATATTGCAAGACTGATAAGAGACGTAAAAGTTTATAAAGACTCGTAATAAACCATAAGAGACTTGGTATGAGTGGTTGAGACAGTCATTATTTGCATAGAAATAATGAGGTTGCGGAAACTACAATTTGGTTTAAAAAGTTATAATTTGGTACAAATGTCAGATGTTGAGTGTTCAGTTTCTACAATTTATCATAAACCCCTTTGCTCTTACTTAGTAATTTTAGTTTTCAGAGGTATTATGGTATATAATGTAACCATGGTCTTCATTGAAAGGTTACCAAAGTCAAATGGTAAGGACACCATTTGAGTGATATAGATAAGCTCAATTTATATGCACATTTCATTGCACTTGCTCATCCATTTTCAACTTCACTTCTAACCCAACGCTTCTTGAAAGAAATTTATAAACTTCATTAAGCCCCATCGAATATAATTAGTGATAAAAATTCATTGTTCACTAAGTAGGTTTTGATTAACTTTCCTACATTAGTTGAATGTTAGTTAAAACCTTTCCTCTACTTATCATCCTTAATTTGATGGGTAGAGTGAGGTCCTTAATTGATGCCTAGAACATTATTTAAGGTAAATGGTCCAATGACTTCCTTTAGCAGAATGTTGGTACATCCCCACCTTCCACTCTTTATATGGGCAGCCACAACCCTTGCACATTCCCTACATTCTACAATCTTGTTCAGTTGATACAATTGATAGAAGTTTTGCAGCCAGAGAAGGATAGATGCAAAAATTAAAATATCATTTGGAGAAGGCAATTCAACGCATGAAAACATTGACTGACAGAAGAAGAACAAATGAAGAATTAAAAAATTAGGAAACTAAGTCATGCTTAAGCTACAGTCATGTTGCCAACAGTATCAACACCTTAAAAGTTTTATAAAAATTAGCCCCATCGAATATAATTAGTGATAGAAATTCACTCATGTTTAAAAAAATTAGCCCCAAGATATTTTGGTCTATTTGAGGTTATTCAACTTGTTGGCAATGTTGCTTACACTCTTAGGCTGCCTCCAGAATGCAGAATTCATCCTACATTTCATGTCTCATTACGTAAACTGTATAAAGACCCCACCATCCCCCTTACATAATTGCCTGCTCAATGGGGTAGTTTAGAAATACCACGTGAGCCTAAGAAGATAGTGGATCACAGAACCGTACAAAGGGGTCAGAGCAATCACTAAAGTGCTCATATAATGACATGGAAAATGGCTAAAGAACCAGCTACATAGGAGGTCTGGTATGAATTACAAAGAAAGTTTCCAGAATTTGTTAAAACACAGCACCCTTGAGGACAAGGGTGATCTAAAGGGGGAGTGTTGATACATAGTTGTTTTAGAATAGGGGCATATATGAAAATAAGTGCATTACCAAAATCAGTTGGGGGTTTTGAAATGTATAAATAGATGTTTCTATAATTGAAGGTATCTCTTGTCTATTCTGAATCTTTTTCTCTTCTATCAATTCTTTCTATTCTTCTTAATTTCTCCATTCTAACAACTTACTTCGTTGTATATAATATTGAATATCTCAGACTAAGAGAAATGAAAAAGGGATATCATATCAGAGATAGTACAGATGTGTCAAATAATTATTTGTCATTGTATTGCCACTAAGTACACAGAATCTTTAAATATTGGTGACTAAAGATATTGCCACTAACACACAAGCTGAGTTACAAAGGCTCATTAGCTATCCACCTAGTGAACATGGCGAAACCTTCATCAGGCTTGTACTCGGGAGCTGTATGTCCTGAACCCTGCAATTAATTACAAAAGAATCAAATTTTGGCAACGCCCTAAAGAAAATATGTCACCATATTATGTATTTTCTTTAAAAAGAAAGAAAAGAGCACTACTGGTTAACAAATTGAATGCCCTTACCTTCACAGTTGCAAATGTCATTTTATTCGAGTAAGCCCTTGTGTATCTGCAAGGAAGGAAAATTATCACAAAGATTTGGATACATGCTGTCTTAGGATGTTCTTGTAAGGAAATGTGAGATATAAAAAATAAATAATGGTATAATAGGATTGAAAGTTTTGGATTTCTTCTTAGTTTATAGTGAGTGGAAAACAAGAATAAGGTGTATCTCCTTTTCTAATATTAATCTTTTCCCTGTACTATATAGAATATACTAATAAAGATTGTTTTCAAGGTATCCCTTACCCAATGATGTTTCCTCTATTTTCTCTATACACAGAAATCCTGGAATCAAGCTCATGGTCCCATATGCTTAAAGGGACCCAAACTTTTCCCACTAAGAACAGTATACATGATGGTGTAGAAGCAATGGTCGGATTCTGAGATTCTCTTTGGGGGTTTGACATGTAAAACAAGTTTTGTTTTCTTTTTCTGGATAAGCAAAAACATGTAAAACAAGTCAAATTAATTTATCAAAGCTATAAGTTTCATGCCTACCCTGCAACTTGGCCATTTAAAAACCATGGTCTCCAATCGTCCACAATGGAGTAGTTTAGAGCCCTTATCCATGCTTGAGTCGATGTGAAAGGAACAACAAGGTCATGATCCCCACTGTAATAAAACACCAATTCCCATAAAATTCACTGAAGATAAGTAAATAATAATAGCCTAAATCGAGTTAACTTTTCACAAAGAATAAAATGAATTAACCTTCTACCTTAAGTTAAATTTTACTTATACTCCATTTTTTCAGGTCATAATTTGATTTTAACTTATAAGGGAAATTTTATTCATTTTACCTCCTTATTTTCTTTTCTACAAGTGCTTATTTAAGAGTTTATTCAAATTGAGCTTAAATCTTCACCTGTATATTAAGGAACGATAGCCTTTTGCACTGAGATTTACATGAAACTCAAAGCTACTCTGGATCTGATGGTCAAAATCAGTAGTGTAACATCGTTCCCATTTGTCTATAGTTCCCTGCAGCACATTGAGCTAAGTACATTAATATGTATGATATCCACTAACTACTAAGGCTTCTTGGTCTATGTTTGACTCAAATTTAAAGTAGAACTATTTAGAACTAAACATAGACCTGATGTGAAGCCACATTAACCAATCCATGAAATAAAATGAAGTACATATTATATCAAACCTCTCGAATATGCAGCGCCTTGCGAACACTCTCATCATTGGCCCATTGAGTGGCAAGGAAAAAACTATAAATCTACAATAATGTAAAATGAGGAAAAATCAACTTGAAACATTATGGACAAAACATGTGACTGCCTACATGAGGTATGCAAAATTACTTGGCATTTTATGTCTGGTATTCTGAGATAAGAATTAAGAGAGGCCATCGACTTCTGAGTCAGAGATCTCCTCCACAAAGCCGAATCATCTTTGCAATAGATATCCAAAATGAAGAACTTATTAATTCCTGAAAGGCACTGAAGATAAGAAATAACAGTTTACCAATAAGGTGAGTATACTCAACGGATCTGAACAACAAGAGTAGAAGGGATTATCATAATAAAATTGGGATAGCCATTACTTGCCTCATCAAAGTAGTCGAGATCTCTAAGACAAATTTCATTTGAGGTATCTATATCTATATACTCTCCTTTACAATTTCTCTGTAGTAACTGTCCATAGATGGTAGATGATTAAGAATCGTTGTCTTTTCATTTTAAAATTGGTTTAAATGAACATCACATAAATTGCTGATATGATTCCACTGAAATATAAATAATAACCAAATATTTTCATGCAAAATTTGAATACCAACATATCAACATTATGTACTAACACAAGAAAATACAATGTAGTAGCTATTATGAAGTAAAAAAGTAATATTCTTACAGCATAGAGTTCATCAGAAATAAGTCCCATTCCATGAGCATAGGGGATTTGATAATTTTTTTCTCTCCGGGTTGTTATGGGGTTCCCTAGCAGATATCCCTGAATATATTAAAACCAATTAAGGCTTTATAGTCCATATAACAAGAGAGTACTTGTTAGCATTAAAATTTCTAAAAGTTGAAAAACCTTATTCGTTTTGGAGTTTTGAATATTGGACTCCAAAACCCACTTTCTTGATTTTTCTTTTGTCAGTAAGTATTGAAAGCATAGACAGAGAAATTGAATCAAACCTGGAGATTTATCCATGGTTGGAGACCTATTTCATTTCCTGTTAATCAAGGAAATTGAAGAATAACAGTTAGCTTTATCATAATTATGTGGATGTTAAACCTTTTATATGTTAGTTACGTGTAGAATGATCTAGTCTGTTTGATTCTATGAAAAAGTCTTGGAGAAACCAATGTTTAAATTTGAGAATTATATTTGATGCTTTTCTGATAGTTATTATATTTTAGAGGATGTGAGAAGAAATCAAATTTTCAGTTAAAACTGAAGATTAAGTTAAACATTAATTTATGGCAACATAGCTAAGTATGAAAAAGAAATAAAATTCTGAAAATCATTGTTTGATAATTAATATACAAGTGACTCACACACGTGAGGACATAAAAACATTAATGCAAAATTTATTAAATTAAAAGTAACGTAAAATTATTTTCTTTTACTATTTATCTGCAAAATGAATAGAATGAGGGAAGACAAAGGCACAAGTTCACAAGCTAATTGTAAGTTGTTAATCATTCGCTAATCCAAATATATGTAAACTATATACAAAAAATAATTTCCATGCATGTTCTTGCTTTTCAAACTTACAACAAGCAATTACTTTTGAAAGGAGTCAAATTTTGTAAGCTTAGGCAGTATGAACTAGTGTGAAAAGTCAATTTCGACTCCTTTTAGTTTTCTTTCTATTAAGTTTATAAGGGGAGAGAGAAAATCAGAAATGAAGATGAGGGAGTAATTAAGTAATTGATATGGATACAGTGAGTGAACAAGTTATATAAATACACGTAATCTCAATTGAAATTTTTGTTATGCTAATTTGCAGATATACTTAAAATGATCACAAAACAATGTTTGCTACATTGTCATGATAAATTATAAAGACATTAGTTATTACTTGAATACTTCATTCATCTTATAAATTGAGACAGTTAAAATTTCTTACCGATTGAAATTTCATGAGCAATAGCAGGGCCAGGAATGCCAGAGTATGAATCAGCTCCAACGTAAAATTCATTTGAAAGAAATTCTGGGTGATCAATCAGCCACTACAAAGATTATAAAATATGCAGCTTAATAACAAAATGATCAAATTTAAATAGCTTGTTTTAAGCTTTGGTTATGAGACAAAGAAATTAGAAAACTTGGCATGAAATATGATGACAGTGACGTGATCACATGCATAGTGCCTGTACCTTCCTAATAAATTGATAGGAATGGTGAACTAAATTCCAGTCATTTCTTTGAGCTCTGACATTTTTCGCATAGGAGAAGCCAGTTCCAAAAGGTAAATCTACAAAAATAATGCTACAAGCCTGACCAAAGAAATCAATAACATTAGTAGCACCACATCACCCTCCAACAACAAAATAATCAAAAGAAACATATAAAAAGAACAGGTATTACTAATTATAGAGTTATCTCAACACAAATTACACACATATAACAACCACACGCTTAATATAACTATTAATTAATTATAAATTTTGTGTTAACTTTAACAAATGAAATCAAAGTGAAATTCTAGAGGACAAATTCTATAATTAATACCTTGGTCCAGGACTGTGGCCTCAAGACCAAATTTGGCAAGCTCCCGTCATACTCCTCAATTTTAAATGCAAATGGACCTATTTACATCCAATTGATGACAAAAGTCATTTGGTGAAAGTTGTTGAGTGAATCACTTTCAGAAGGATCATCAGTAGTGAAAGGCTAAACCAAAAATAGAAAAATCACAACATTGGTGTCCACATTTTGCTGCAGAATGATTCTGCAAGAGGCAAATTTATGCCAAACTGGCTACAATATTGTTCTATCTTTTCAATTATTACCTTATCTCTACAACCTTCTTAAATATTTTACATACTTATCATTAATGAGAGAGAAATGATAATGGAGGTCACATTAAGAATAATCTTAATATAAGTAAGAATTTTAATTGCATTTCCTAATTTGAGTGCTATTTCTAATGGATAAAAATGAGTAGTATTCCTTTTTCTACCTTCCTACGAGAGCTTTAAGAATAAATTCCTGAAATTGACCTCATACGAGTAGTATACAGTTTGGTGTCATAGAAGGGAAATACAACCTAAATCTATTGCTTTTATAGAAACTATATTAGAAGCATAACTCCAAATCTTTCTACCCTTTTTTCCCCTATAATCTTCCTAATTATTAAATAAAAAACTATTAAATGTTTTTCATGTTTTCAAGATAATAGATTCATATACTTTTTCATGTAATATTTATTTTATTTAATAGCAGGAGGTCTGTTGAGAAGATAATAAATGCATATACTTTCTCAATAATATTCTCCTATAAATATAGCAGAATATTATTGAAAACTGAAAACAGAAAGTTGGTGCCTCAACATTACCTATTTGAAAAGCAAGGCCAGAAAATGAAGAGCAACCGGGGCCCCCAGTTAGCCAAAGCATAAGAGGGTCTTTCTCAGGGTCCTTCTCTGACTTAATAAAGTAGTAGAAGACTTGCATATCATCATCTGACTCTCCCAACCCCACATACCTGTGAAACATGCACATAACTTAATACAACAATAGTCCTCACAACACAACAGCATCTATCTCCTTCGCATGTCTCACTTAAAAAGTAACACATGACAAACAAAGGGTGAAGAACAAAAAACCTTAAGTTGCCCAACAAAATTCAAATCTTGAAACCAAAAGAGGGAAAATGCTGTTGCTTACCCAGTTTCAAGTTCAAAGGGAAGAGGCCCTTGTAAGCCAGGAAGCAGTTCTACCTTGTGAGAAGTTTCAAGCTGAGATGATATCTGTGGAAAAAGTGCAAGACCAAGTAGAAGAGGAAAGAAAACATAGCAACATAGATTAGAAAACATGTTCATCCTCGGAGACCGAAGTTTCTTCTTGTGAAGTTTCAGAAAGCGGTGAATTGTGATCTTTGAAAAATAATTGTATTTGATTGTCACTTTTCAGAATTAAGTTAATAAAGTTGCCTTTTCAGAGATAAAGAATGTAATTTCTATACTAAAGGGAGAATTTACATTAAAATTGTTTTCAACATAAATAATAGTATTACTTTAAATTTAATTTTAAGAAAACTAATTTTATAAATAAAAAAAATCAAGTGTTGAAATTACGGTTTATAAAAAAGCCATAATGATTGCACTTGTCAGCGGTTACGTAATGAACAAGCCTGGCCATGTGTTCCAGGCAGTAATAAGATATGACTGGAAATTTCAATCTGATATATATATAATAACGCGTGGATATGGTTATTAAAAATAAACAAATACTTTTATTTTGATTATAACTATGTATTTATTAGATCCAGTTAGATGGCACATTTAATTTATCTTTTAAACTCAATTGGAATATTATTTAATATAATCAATTATTACCTTTAAATTTTTATCGGTAAGTTAATTTAAATTGATTAACTAAGTTACTTAAAATCGATATCCTTAAAATTTAATTATATAAATAAATGCGAAAAATGTGAGCCAATAAGTTTGAGTGAATATCTATAACTTGTGTGGGATTCATAATTTATAAATATCCATTCTCAACTATATTTAAATTGACCAAAATAAAATGGAAAAAAATAGAATTAAGGACTTGTTTGTTTTTATTTTTATTTTTAAAAATTATATTTTAATATTATTTTCAAAATTATATTTTAATATTATTTTCAAAATTATATTTTAATATTATTTTCAAAATTATTTTTAAGAAGAACGTGAAATAAAACTTTTTTGTTAGTTTAGTTTTTAAAACCGTTTTTAAGATGAGAAAAAAAAAAAAAACTTGTTTGATAATTTTTTTAAAATAAGTTTTAAAAATAAAAAAATATGTTTAGTTTTATTTACTTTTTTATATTTGGAATTTTAAATTATATATATATATATATTTGATATTTACTTTTAGTATTTTTTTTATTTCTTTAAATATATTTTTTATATTTAAAATAAAATATTGAATTGAAAAATTATTAAAACATCAAAATTTAATTAATATTAAACTGAAAGTTATTCTTATTTATAAGATAATACTAATAATTTATACAAAGCTTAATAAATTACAAAATAAAAATTAATATTAAACTAAAAATAATGATTAATTTTAAAAATAAAATAATTTTTAATAAATAAATATAAATATTATTAATAGTTAATATTACAAAGAAAAACAAGTGAATAATACTGATATACTAAAATAAGTGAATATATCTATATATATATATATATATATATATATATATATATATATTAAATTTTTTTAATTATTTTAAAAATATATATAAAAATCAAACACAAAACACTTTAAAGGCTATTTTTATTTTAAAAAATGAAAATATTTTTTTAAAATAAATTTTAAAAACTTAAGTTGACAAATAATTTTTAATTATTTTCTATTATTAAAAATAAAAACTACCTTTAAAAAGGAAAATTAACGGATTTTAAGTTTAATAATTTTATTTTTTTTATTCTATTGAATATATTTATTTTTCTCATTTAAATTTGAAAACATGGATCGAACAACTTCTATAAAGATATGGATCTTAATACCATTTTTTTTTTTTACTTACTAACAGAATTGAAATATTATTATATATTATAAAATATTCAAGCAGAATGCAGATAGACGATAATTTTATGTTATTTTATTTCTTTTATTTTATTTTAACAACCATTCAATTCCAAAATTAAGGATAAAGTACATCCACTAAAACAAACTTTAAATTATGTTAAATTTATTATTGACAATTTTTTACATGACGCTCATTTACCTAATATTATTGTCATAGTTCAAAATTAGATTCATGTTATTTAGTTTGGCCACTTTATTTTAAAATAAACACACAAAATAATTAATTATTTTAAATAAATAATCTCATAAATCTATTAAAAATTTGATAAAAAATTTTCTATAATTTTATTACATCAGAAAATATTACAACTTGTTAAAATTTATTTGTAAAGTAACAATACTTAATGAGACTTAAAATCTATATAATATCAATATTAAAACATTTGTTATATAACCAAAATAAATAGATCTAACTCCTTAAAAATTATAGAAAGACTAAATTATAAGTAGTAAAAGATGTTTTAAGCATGGTAACATTCATAGTTTATTTTTTAATTTGTGTCATAAATCATAACAAAAGAAAGCAAATAGAGTAAATGTTTTTATTTTTATGATTTAAAAAATTAAGGAAAAGTCAAACTCACATTTCCATTATTTAATTTATGAAAGCTTGAACGTATTCAAATTTTTAAAGAAAATATTATCTTAGAATTTAAATTTGTAAATAGAGTGAAAACTAAAATTTTCATTTCAAGAATTTTACTTAATTCATGATATATACAAATGAACTTGCAACGCAACAACACTGTTTTCTATTAGGGTAAATTTCAAAGAAAATAGATGTAGTCTATAGTTAAATAATTAACTATCAATATTACAAATACACTTCAAATTAATATTTACAAACAGACTTGTCAAAGTATTATAAATTTAAATTTGTAAATATATATATATTTCTTACAGTCTCACTAAGAATATGCTTCTAGGTCTGGTCAATCATCTTTAATTTTTTTCAAAATTTATTTCCTGAAAATAGTTAGGAAGGGTGAATATTCTTCGCCCCACTAAATTTCTTATTTGACAAAATAATTAAATGATATTGAAAATATTATCTAATACAATTTAATATACATTAGTTAATAATAACTCAGATTATACAAATGATTATCACAATAAAGCACACACACTAAATCAATCAATTTGTAATATTCATAACATAAATTTTTACACTGATCAATATTTCATAATACATATATTATATATAATACATGTGTCCTAATCGCACTCGTCGATATATTACAACACATATATTGTAACATCCTAGATTTTCAGTTGCATATTTCTTATTTTCAAAATGAAGAGATTTCCAAAAAAAAAAAATCTTTAAAAAAATTACCTTTTAAAAAAAATCAGAGAGAATGTTCCTTTTAGCCCAGGAGAATATTCTTTTTAACTCAAGCAAAAATTTTTCGCTCAAGTGAGGATGGATCAAATTTTTCTAATTGTATTTTTGCTCAAGCAAAAATTCACAACAGAAAAGTGTAACTCTAGGGCTTGTTTTCGCTAAAGTGAAAATACTTTCGCTCAAGTGAAAGTATCAGCAGAAAAGTAGTAATCTTTGTCTGGTTTTCTCTTCTCAAGCAAGAATAGCCTCGCTCAAGCGAGAATTCGCGTGAAAAGTGAGTATTTAAGTGATTTTGGGCTTCTAAAACCCTATATCTCTAAGTAGGAAACCCTTCTCCTCTCTTTCTTTATTCTTCCACTTCTCTTTCTCAAATAAAACTCTCATAAACTTTGAATCTCTTCCGAATTTGAGCTCTAACGTTCTTTCTTCTTGATCCCAAGAAGAACTTAGTATTGGATGATACCTTCGTTAAAGCGCATTTTTCGCTAGATTTCGCGAAGAATGTAGTCTAAGAGACTCATTTCCAAGTAAGAGGAATTGATCCCAAACCCTAACTCCAATTTATACGTTTTGCTTAAAATTTAGATTCTCTTGCTTAGGATGGCAAATCCCTAATGTTTTCTTAACAATTACAGTGTAAAAATGGATTTCAAGTATGCAAACCCTAACTCCAATTTTTAAGAATGAGTTTTTAACAAGATTTTCATAAATGTGTTATTCAATATATATGAATATGTGTTGGGTAAAAGGGATAAACCTTAGGATAAATTATTTTTATAAAGATTGAGAGAGTGTAATTTTTGGTAATATATTTCTAAATTGATTTGTGTGTTGTGAAATTGATTGATGAATAGTGTTTGACTATTTTTGAATGATAAAATCTATTCTTAGTGAAAAGTAATGAAAGGAATTAGTGTGAACTTGATTGCATGTGAAAGGAAATTATTATCAAAGAGAATCAATGTAAATGATTGATTGATGATTTAACTGTGCATGAATGACATAGTATGGTAAATTTTTATTATGAAGAGAAAAAAAAAGAGTGAAAATTGTACTATCATGAGAAAAATGATGAAAAGAAATGAATATGAATATTTGAGAAGTGTTGAGGAAATATATGTCATGAAAAATGACTAAAATATGTATAGATAGTTACAGAGATACGTTAAGAGTATAGAATATGGAGACAATTTAGGAAATATGGGGGAAACATTGGATGATAAATGACATTCGCTTATGTATACTCAATTTATTGATTGCGAATGCATTACATGGCCTCACACTCGTTTTCTGATTAAACTCCTGACTATACTTTTGTTAAGAGGCCCTCTATTGTATATGTTGTATCCATATGCAAGGGCGGCTAACTGGCAACTAGCTATACTTATAAAAGACCTCAAAGGATCATAAAGGCAATGATTGTGAATTGTGAGATGTGTGATTATAATAGATGAGTCATAACGGATTGATTAGTGTGATTATAATACAGGTACTATAACACATCGATGATGTATCATAATTCATTGATTAACATGGTTATAACAAACTTATTATAATATGTTGATCTATGAAATGAATAAAGTGTTATGGAGTCAAGGATTGAATGATTGAATTTGATTATGTGTGAAATGTTGTGTATGGAGGTGATTGTTATGATCCTTGATATGTTGTAGGATCATTAATATAGTGCATGAGCTAGTACTATTTTGACATGTATTCTGTATTAAATAATGTTCTATGTATTACTTGACTCATTTATGAGATAAAGCATTTAGTGGGGCAGGAGATACTCACTCTTATGAATTATTTTACAGGAAATGAAATTGAAGAATAAATGAAGGTTGATCCGTTCTATGATCATATCCTCAGTGGAGTTATAGGGAAGACTGCTCTGCTAAGACTCAGATTAATTTTGAAAATTGTAACAATTCTAATTTAGTTTTCATTCAAAGTTGACAAGAATATGTAACCATTTTCATATTATTTAGTCTAAATTTATAATATTTTGATAACTTTTTGT